ACACGACACCGAGTCCTGACCAAGGGACCACTTAAAAGAGCTGGAGCAGCATCAACACTATTTAGTTTCTTCCATCATATCAACCCAGGGAAGGCTCACAACTGTTCTACCCAACACATCTCCCCCAGCAGCACTGCCATGATATGGGCTGGGACACTAACGAAGCCCTGAGATGCATGGGGAGGAAAATGGAATGATGAAATAAAAGCTTAAGTACGAGGGAATTCAAACAGGGCTTGCAACTCATTACTTGTAATATCAGGAGGATTGTAAAACACCTTGTAACCGAGAGGCTTTGCTTGGAGCTGTTAAGGACTGCAGCCCCCACTTCATCACGGGCTGACAAATTTTGAATAGTCTTGGCAATTGGGGGGCGGGGGGAGCAGCGAGCACTGAGCTTTCTGTCACAGCTGACCTGAGGAGACGGCAATGCTTTGTTCTGCTTAACAGGACATTTCTCTCTCAATTGCTTCCTTGGGTTTCTAATCAACTAGAGTACTGTCCAGCGTTCAGCTCCATCATTTGTCTCAAAGTGTCGGTGCTGACAGCCCTGGCAGCGCGCCCACCTTGAGACATTTGACCTTCCACTTGTCACTGAAGACGGAGGAGGCCGGAGCGCACACTGGCAGACCAGTGACCAGCACCTCCGTCCTTGGCCCGGATTTATTAACACAGCAATAGGCAAGACCCTGTTTTACAGGACTTTCCTCAAAAATGCTAAATGAAGCACGCGGAAAACATCCTGCCTGCTTCAGTTATCTCTTCCTCAAGGTGAAGGGGGGGCTGTAGTGCTACTGCACGAAGCCCCACAGTCCCCACGGCCAGGCAGGGCTGCAGCCCCTTCCCTCAGCGCCCTGGCCGGAACCAGCCAGTACCGGCCACCCTCCAGCCCATACGGCCCAGTGTCTCCCCGTCCACCCCAGAGCCCGCCCCGGTGTCCCCAAACGCTGTTGGGGACATGGGCTTACCTGTTTTTAAGGGGACTAGGGCCATTCTACAACCGTTTCTAATCTACACCAAAAAAAAAAAACCCAAAAACAGGCTTCTCCTGCAGGACTTAGCAAAGTGTAACCATTTATTTTTACTCCAAACAGACCGATATACCGCATACTGGGCTATTATTACAAATACGTTAAGTGTAAACTCTATTTTATGTCTTTCACTCCACCCCGTGAGGAGAGATGCCCTAAATACCAAACCATCATCCTCACAGTTGTGTTTCCCTGAAACGCCCCTGACGGCGGCCCGGCCGTGCCCCCGCGGCCCGCTGAGGCGGCGGGAGGCGGCGGAGCGGCCCAACCCGGCCCAGCCCGGTTCCGCGCGGAGCGGCGGGGGGCCCCGGGGGGGTGGGC